AATTATTTTTAGTAGATTTAATATTTAATATGTACTACACAAAAGGGATTTATTAATGAGATAGGGGAGATTAGATTCAATATATATCACCTATTGTTGAAAACCACAAAAGCTAAAGTCATAAGCTATATCATCCTTAGAACATTAAAGTATCAAGTCTTTATTGTTAGAAAAATAGTAACAATTATGTTGATGAATATTTTAATAATGACCTTGTTGGATAAGAGTTAGTGCAGTTGGTGAATAAAATTATTGGATAAAAAAGAACTTTCACTTCTTCATTGTTGAACATTACATGAATCTCATTGTTGAATAGCCAAAAATCAAAGAGATGGGAAAAGAATCTCATTGTTGAATATTACATGAGTGACGATTTACATGCATAATAAAGATGAGTTTTCAAAAAAGAGTATGTTTGATTTTTAACGAGGAATTAACCAATATAAATTTTTTTATAAAGTTGAATGTCATAAACAAATAGTTAATAACAAAAAAAAATGTTTTTTTTTTCTCTCAAATACCTTTTTTTTTACCAAATCCCCTCTTCTAAAAATGAATATAACTAAAACTAGAAGAGCTATTAAAAATATGAATTTTGAAAAAAAAATTTAATGATTGAAGGTTAAGATACGAACAAAACAAGAGTATCTACACAAAAAAGACATATTAAAATTAGAGTTCAAAGAAAATAGCACGGACTTTCTAAATTTATAAACTCTTAAATGAAGGAAAGTAATTCAAATCACAACAATAAGTATTTTACTGAAATATTAGACTCAAAAGACCATTTGGACAATCAATTATGTTAAAGAAGCATCCATTGAAATGACTATTCACAAAATTTGAAGAAAAATTGTTAATTTTGTGAAATTCCTAGAGAAAATGTTTGGATTTAGCAAGGATACTGAAATGACTCTAGCAAACCACAAAGCATAAAATTTGGCCTACTTGATTGAATAAAATGTCGAGGAATACTATTCATAAACTTCCTTACAAGGTAAATTCAATTGAAATTGATAAGTTGTTTAATACATTCTTAGAGATCAAAAAAGTGGGTTTTCCCTCATTTGTATACCTAAAAGTAAGCTACTTGTTGAGGATGAAATGAGTAAGGGGAAAACTAACATTGATTAAACCAAAAGGAGCACAAAAAAAGATGATAATGACGTTAATAAAAGAGTAATCACAAATTCAATAGGTCTAGTAGAAGTGGCTTGATATATAAGATGACCCATGGCATCAAAAGCAATATCCAACTTCCTAATAGAAGGGGTAGTGAAGCTTTAACCACAATTCATTAAGGTGAAGAAAATACTGAAGATCTAGCTTACATTCGATTAAACCAGCAAACCAAAGCTTGGTATAAGGGTAAAATTCAACTTATTCATAGGAAAAAAATAATACAATTTCTACACTCAAAGGTGCGACATTTGAGGAGTTAGTAAAGGGAAGGAAACCTCATGTGCCAAGCTTCACTCAAGACAATCATGGATATTAGGGGCATGTGTGGTTGTATGATACCTAGGGAGCAAGGACAGCTTTCATTTATTAGTTAAGTGTCATTTCTTATGCTAACTACTAGGAAGGAGGTTGTGGTATCATGGATGTGTAGAATTGGGATTTGATATTGATTTGATTGATGATTAAGAAGTAATTTGATGGTATTCTTTAAATATATTGTCGAGACTGGTCGATCTTGCACAACTAAACAATTTGAAGTCTTTATCACATGTCTTCTTATATAAAAAAAAAATGCTGAAAAAGATAAAAAGTTATGCATGTATGGCTTTGCAATATACTTTAACACATGTTAAATTTCCTCAATATAGTTTGGTCATGTATAACATTAAATCCATATTCTTTAAAATTTATTGACTATTTTTTAAGAACAATCGAGTATTAGTTCAAATTTTAACTTGAATTAAATCTTGTCGCTACCATTATACGTGTTGCATTATTTTGACTTACACAACTAACTTTTGGAGCCAAAATATTAATCATCTTAAAACATTATGTGATCATGTTTTTTCTTAAGAAAAGACAACTAAGATTAAAATTACAAAACATCTCAAAGGTACTTCTCCCATTTCAAAGCATGCTAGAAAGTTAAATGTGCCTAAAAAAGTTCTATAACCATAATATTTTAGAGAAAAAGTGAGATTAGAAATTAACATTAGTTTGGACACATCTTTAGGAACGTGTAAATTGTGTTTGGAGAAGAGATGCATCCATGTATAGCACTACACATGACACTTTTTCATCTCACCTTACCAAGTTATTTAAAGTAATAGTACATTAAATTTGAAAAACAAATTAAAAAACATTATTAATGCATTACTATTTACTATATATTATACTCTAAAGTTATATCAATATTAGAAGATGATTCAAAAATCATTTTATGATTATTAAAAAAGGCAAAATAAACAAAAAAAAAAATTAATTAATTTGTAATTGGGTGATTTAGGAAGGTGTAAATTGTTATTCTACAATTAATTGCAAATTATGCTACTTGATGACTCCATTAATTATACTGTTTCTCCTAATGAAGAAGGATTGGACTGCAAATTTCAAAGAAACATTTGATAAGATTAGGATTATTGTGTGCGGTCAATTTTACTACAATAGTAATGATTCATTAACTTTAATTTTGATGTGTTTTAGGAAAATAATTGCTCCCTAAATCAAAATTTAAGTGATTACAAGCTGTCATCAAGCACATAAGAATTAGTTCTTATTTAATAAAATTTATTTTTGTGTGTGGATGGATAAGTATTGCCCTCACAATGCCAATTCAACTCTGACGATTTGATAGAATGTTCTATAAATATCTAAAAATGTAAACATTTATAATAAAATAACCAAACATAGACTTCAGCTTCATAACATTATGGTATGATAGAAAAAAAAATAAATATAAAATAAATATAAAAAAAAAATTGAAGAGGTTGTCTCGCCATCTAAATGTTGTCGATCCGTTGATCAGATCTGGTCACTGACTCTCAATTCCTGGCAGGGAGCTCCTGCAGAGCAATGGAACTAAGGTATCAGACAGAGGTTACATCACCGTAAGCTGATAGGTAGCAGCCATTGGATGAAGAGATCCCAAGAGATAGCTGATATTCGCCTTATTGACTCTTGATAACGTTCAGGGCGGCTACGTCCCAGTGGGAACTGTGGGACTGAAGGGGTTAGCTTTGTTAGTTTTTTTTTTCTCTTGGTTTGGTTTCATCGTGGGGATATCCATAAATTCTCCTTTATTGGCGATCGATTGAACTGCTCAAGTTCGGGCCACCTGATTGTCTTATTTAATTACAATATTGATTATGCCAATTGGATGTGTGGGCCCCCTAGTCTCCCGCTGGTGGGCCCTCATTTGACACTTCTTGTTAAGGCAATCAAAATGACTTGTTGTTCGCTAACTGTTCGCGTTTAGCTCATTAAGAAGCTCATATTTGATTCATTCGTTAAGTTAACGAGCCAATCACGAACAATTTTTTTGCGCCTGATATATAAACGATTCAAACACAAACAAAGATTTGTTTGTTTGTGTTCTGTTCGTTTTGACTAAAAAAAATTAATTTTTTTACACACACACAGAAAAATATATATTTATATTTAAATGTCTTTTTAATAAAAACACTAAGATTTAAATCTCGTCCCAACCCATAAACTCTACGGTTGTGTGACTAGGTTTGTCAAAACGGTTCTTTGTTCACGATCAAAACTAATGTTTAGGTTGCTAAGCAAACGAACTAAACACAAACTTTTTTTTTTTTTTGTTCAAAAAATAAACAAGCCGAACAAGAACAATAATATTTTTTAATGAGTCAAACACGATGTGAGGCAGGGCTCGCTCATGTTCAACTCGTTTACACCCCTACTTCTTATCGCATTTTTGCTATTAGATCTCCTCAATATTCGTGTGGATTTTTACGAATAATTATAATAATACTATCCCAATTTATTTTATATTAATAAAATAGAAAAAAAAAACGCAATAACGACAAGATGTTAAATAAAAACCAGCAGCTATCATATTATATATATATATATATATAATATATTCTTATATAAACTTACTTGTACTATCTTATTATAAAATGCCAAATTATTTTGAGAAATATCTTGCACATTTGATGACAAAATAAATAGTTCATAATCCATGATATTTTTAAGAAGATATTTGAAAATCTGCCCAAAAAAGCTTTCATCATTCATGTGCTTAAAATCATATAAATATTTATAAGACATTTAAGACTAAATAAATTAAGGCATCTTTATATTTGCTTCGATTAACTTAAATTTACTTTAGTTTCTAACCTTAAATTAAAAATAATTATGCATAAGATATATTTTTTCTTCAATTGATTGAAATTTTCATCTTCTTAATATAATACTAAAAAAATCATAAATTTTATAAAGACAATCAATTTATTAGTTTTATTTTTATAAAGTTCATAAATCTATTATTTAAATTCTTAAATGTTGCATGGTTTATTAAAAAAATTTTCAAAAATTTTACCCCTCATAAATAAGAGAATATTATTTTTTTTCAATTATATACAAGTCATTTAGAGGTCCAATTCCGATCAGGTCCGTGAAAAAATTTAGAGTGGGCCCCACTCTAACAATAATAAAAATAAAAAGATGTATTTTAGTGATCATGATTGGGCAGTGCATGTAAATTTGTGTGTGGTGTCGATACACAATAATCGCTCCATTTTGAGGCTCCGAAGAGGCCAAGTCATTTTTTATTATTTTTAAAAATTAACATAAATACTAAAGTGGAATCAAGTAATTCAGAGACACCTCTTATCCACACATGGATCCAACTAAAATGCACCCTCCATATTTTTAACATGTAGCAAGCTTAGTATGATGCCCTTTTCTCTTTTCTCCCCCATTCCAAACGCCACCCATCACCCTCAGCCATCCACTTATCCCACCTCACTTCTATAAATTCATGGCTCCAACCCTTCTTCTCTACCATCCCTCCTCCTCCTCCTCCTCCTCCTCCTCCTCTGGTTAAGATTTGCAGAAGCTTATGGCCAACTCCAACAAATCAAAAATGGTTAGTCCAACCAGCTTAATTAAGCTTTTGTGATCATTCCTTTTACAAGATGGAAGTAGATTCTCCATGGCTAATTCCATGCTCTCTTCGTTCATCGTTCTTCCTCTTAAGTAGTTTCCATTTGTTTGATTCTCAAGAAGTTGCATCATCACTTCTAAAAAAAAAATACTGCTAAAATATTTAAAAAAACACATAAAAATATTTAAAATCATTGTTAAAAGCATTTGCAGCACTAACAATTACAATAATTTAAAATTTACTATAATGAAAAATAGCAGAGAGTTTTATCACTGTGATTGTCTTTATAAAATGCTGCAAAAACTTATTTTTACTAATGCATATTTTTCTTAATATTTTATATTCTCTTTTATGGCTCTATATTTTTATGTTTTTTTACACATCTAACACATGATGTATAAATTATTTTATTTATAAACATCAAAGCATTGCTCCTTACAAATTGCCATGAATATATAATGATGAAGGAACAAATAGCTGAAGGAACAAGAGGAGAAGGAGAGGTGGAGCTTGGAAGAGACTTCAAGGAGAAAAACAGTAAATATACCACAGATGGCTCTGTGGACATCGGTGGGCAAGTGGCAGCCAAAGCAACGACAGGTGGATGGGTGGCTGGGAGTATAGTACTAGGTAATTCTTTCTTTTTTTTTTAAATATTTAATTAATATTATTATTATTTCTTTCAACTTTCTTGATTATATATATATATATATATATGTTAGTATATATATATACATATATATGATAAAAATTGTTTATATGGAGAAAATATTACGTGCGGTGTTCGCAATATACTCCGAGCGACGAAATATTATTCTTCCCATAAATGAGTGTCTGCGTGATGTTTTAAATTTGTCTTCGAGCTATATCAATTGAAGTCTTAATTTGAACTTTTGGTCTATTTTATTTTGAGAAAATGCTATTTTGATGAAATTTTTAAAGAAAACATTTGACAAAGATAATTCAGAATATTGATTAAAACGAGCAATCCAAGCAAATAAATGCTGATTTGTCTTAAGTAGTAGGCCCAGATATGAAAGCATGAAGCATTAAAATTATATTTGCGTATATGAAAAGAGTTGGGTTGGCATATTTCATGTCCCACACGCTTAGTTTTGAGAAGGGCTAATTATGTGATGGACAGGTGGGGTTCTTTAATTATTGTTCATTATCACTTAACAAGTTATATGTATAGAAATATAAGAATTTGTGTATATATTTGTCATTATTTGGAGAAAATATTAGGTGTGTTTGCACGTACGAGATAGAGAGTGTGCATACAGACGTCCTCTAATACTATAATATTATTTGTTCTCTGTAAGTGCGTTGCACGCACCTAATAAATGCTAATTAAGTTGTGTTCGTTTCGGTAATCAAGTTTGGAATTAAGCTAAACACACAAAAGTAGGGTTTTACGTGTGATGAGTGGAAATAGAAAGCATGTTTTGTGGGTGATTAGAGATATTTTATAGTTTGGCCATTAGTGATTATGGTATTCTTTTGTTCATAATTATTTATTTATCTCTTTGTTTGTTTGTTTGTTATAAGCTAGTTTTATGATCATGTGTTTCGGGTGGATTATTTTATTAAGATTATGGTTTGATGGTGATAATATAATTTAAAATACATCACACGTAAAATTCATTTTATAATTTTCATATGTGGGATACACATCACCAATAAAAATGTTACTTTTACACTATTACATAAAACTTTCTTTTTAAACTATTCAACAACTTTATTTATATGTTCTATGTATATTCTATACTAATATACATACATAAAAACGTGAGAATAAGATCAAAATACAAAAAACTTTTCTAGAATTGAGATGTTCATCATGATTAATGAGAAAATGTACATGATTACTAAGAGGACATTTTTTGTGTCAGCAGAGGCTGCAAATTCATTAAATCTGCAAAAAATGAAAGTTTTTGGACTGCACAGCATTAACCCCTCATAATCCTAATGACTACATATTATGCAGTGAACCAAGGATTAGCGACGCTTGCTTGCTTTGGTGTTGGGGTAAACTTGGTGCTGTTCCTGACAAGAGTTGCAGGCCAAAACAATGCTGATGCGGCCAACAGCGTAAGCAAATGGACGGGGACTGTCTTCATGTTCTCCCTCCTCGGCGCCTTCCTCAGCGACTCCTATTGGGGGAGATACAAGACTTGTGTGGTTTTCCAATTCATTTTTGTCATTGTAAGCTCTCCTATCATGACCATTAATCATCTTTCATGTATTGGAAGATTTGCATACATATCACTCAATTCATATGTATTTACATTCATATCTAACGCTCAAATTTCAATTTTTACATACGTGCAACCTTGCCTATGTATACAAAGTTTATTTAGGCAGTGTTTGGTAGCATCCTATTTACTCCGTTAAATTCAATTTTCTAGCGTTCGGTCTTTTTTTTCACACATTTCGTCTTTTTCTTCACACGTTTTCAGCTGCCACATTCTAATAAAACTATTCATTCCAATGAAAACTTTTGCCTCATTAGTGTTATAATTACCGTGTTAAAGTTGATATCATTAAATTTTGTCCATTCTAAAAAAAAGAATATTGATTTCACACCCCTAAACAAGTTTGAATCATTGTAAGTTGAATTATTATTATTGTGATGATGATTATTAATATATTCTTGCAATTATTTCAGGGTTTGGTAGCACTATCCCTAAGCTCACAAATGTTCATGCTAAGGCCCTCCGGGTGTGGAAAGGCTAATGAGCCATGTGGGGCACACTCAAGCTTGGAGATGGGATTATTCTACCTCTCTATATACTTAGTGGCCTTAGGAAATGGAGGTTATCAGCCCAATATTGCAACATTTGGGGCAGACCAATTTGAGGAGGGAGACCCTAGAGAAGCCCGCTCCAAAATCTCTTTCTTTAGTTATTTCTATTTGGCCCTCAACTTGGGCTCGCTATTCTCAAACACTTTTTTGAGCTATTTTCAAGAAGAGGGACTATGGGCCATGAGCTATTGGGCTTCTGCTGGCTCGGCCTCATTGGCCCTCATTCTATTCCTTTGTGGAACCCGGCGGTATCGGCATTTTAGGCCCGGGGGGAACCCTTTGCGCCGAGTCTGCCAAGTAGTGGTTGCGGCTGTGAAGAAATGGAAGGTCGAGATGACGCCACGTGGAGCGGATGATTTGTATGAGTTTGATGGGAAGGAAATTGAAGCGGGTGCTTCGGAGGGGAGCAAGAGAATCCTCCATTCAGAAGGATTCAGGTGAAGTCATGTTTAATTAGGAAGTGAAGTTCTGTTTATGTTTGACTCACTAAAATTTATTTTAATTAGTGTTCGATTCATTTATAATTCTAGCTTAAAATAATTATTTTAATTTATTTATAATTCTAGCTTAAAGTAATTATTTAGCTCGTTTATTTAACGAACAATTCGAACATAAACTACTTAACGAGCCGATCACGAGCTATTCATGAGCAATGATCATTTTCGATGTTTTAGACTTGTTTTTTTTTTTTTTTTTGAGCATTTAAAAACATGCCAACCAATTTCTCCTTATTTATATATCTAACACATAAATTATATTTTTTTTATATTCTACAACTAAAATCTCTTTACTTAAATATAGTATAAAAAAATAATATTAAAAATGATATAATAAAAATATTTTTTAATTATTTTAAAACTTATTTGTGAATCGAGCTAAAGAAAAAAACTCGATGAGAAATTCTCAAACTTTTTTTTTTTATTTTGAAAACATGCTGACCTGAATAAATGAACATTTGAAGGTTCTTAGACCGAGCCGCCCTCATCACCTCCGACGACTTCCCCGTCTCTGGCGACTCCACCGCCGCCAACCCATGGAGGCTCTGCACCATCACACAAGTCGAGGAAGTAAAATGCATCCTCCGCCTCCTCCCCATCTGGCTCTGCACCATCCTCTACTCAGTTGTCTTCACTCAAATGGCTTCCCTCTTCGTCGAGCAAGGCGCCGCCATGAAAACCACCATTTTTGCAGACTTTCGCATACCACCGGCGAGCATGTCAGCGTTCGACATCTTCAGCGTAGCCATCTTCATTTTCTTCTACCGCCGAATCCTCCAACCCATCGCCGCCGCCCTTCGCCACGATCCAAGGGGATTAACAGAGCTCCAAAGAATGGGGGTGGGGTTAATCATCGCCGTCGCCGCTATGATCACCGCCGGCATTGTTGAACACTTCAGACTAAAGCTACAGCGCGGCGGAGAAACCAGTTCGCTCAGCATATTGTGGCAGGTAACAAATAAAACTTAAACAAAAAGAGATCTTTTTGATCTGTAAATGAGCAAAATGCGATCAAAATTTGAACTTGAAGTCGTTTATGTTCAAATCAACAGTTTTTTAAATGGATACATATTGATAGGTGCCGCAATTTATGCTGATTGGAGCATCAGAGGTGTTCATGTACGTTGGGCAGCTGGAGTTCTTCAACGAACAGGCGCCAGAAGGGCTCAAGAGCTTCGGGAGTGCTCTCTGCATGACCTCAATGTCATTGGGAAATTATATGAGCGATATTCTGGTGACTGTGGTGATGAAGATAACCGGAAAAGACGACAGGCCGGGGTGGATTCCGGTTAACTTGAACAGAGGACACATGGATAGGTTCTACTTTCTTCTGGCTGCTCTAACAACTGCTGATTTTGTGATTTATGTCATATGTGCAAAGTGGTATAGGTGCATTAAGATTGAAGGGAAGGGGGAGGGAGAAGAAGATGGAGAGTGCAGTGATTAAATCAGAATTGTTGTGTCATAGTAAAGGTGTGTTATTTCTAGGGGGAAAGTTTTAGGTGAGATTAGCTCATCAAAGTATTTTTGCTTTGTATAACTTTGTATTGTTATGTAATGATAATAATTTAGTATCATACATAGTAAGTAGTACAGATTATAAGAAGAAATCTGTCAATTTCAATGTTTTCATGAGTAAGAGTTATGATGTATATGATTACTTTGTATTATTGCTGGTTTGATGATCAATGAATGAGAATAACTTCGGGTTTAATCAAAAACACATCTTAGTACAGTCGTATATGAATGTAATTAGAATGAAAATTACTGGTAAAGTCTTAAGCTCAATATTATCTATATAATAAGCAGCTCTTATTTTGTTGATTAGATATAAAAAAACATGTATATTATTGTACGTAGAAAATGTGTCAACATGAATCTTGAGGCAATCCAACAACCCCAAGAATGAATAACGTGGCAGAGGCGGGCTACACACACCAGGTGTTGCAAAGTATGGGCAGCTCACGCAAGTGTACGTGGCATATTGGTAGTATCGTGGTTGGAGTCCGGTTGTCAATCCCACAAAGAATGAGATGAATTTAATTACGAAAAGTTCTAGCCTACAATTCTCAATCCTAGCCTGAAAGGTTGACTTAATCTAAATCTTATAAACAATCCTAAGTTATCAATGCATAAAGTGAAGAGTTATTTAAGTAATTAAGAAGTTCTCTCTTGGAATGGTTTAATAAGTCAATGTATGTGCATGTTAAACAAATATATAGATGACAAACAAGAGCAACTCTCTTCCTTACCCCCTTCTGGCTTAAGTTTGCATTAATTTAGTAGATATATTTCTATTCCACCAAATTAATGTGATTAACTTAGTCATTTCCCTAAATATTTCTTTTGAGATTCATAACTCACGACAAATTTTAACATCACACTTGGCCAAATTGAAATGTAAATTACGCGTGATAAGTTAATCATCATCCGTAACAATCTTTAGAAATCCTCAAGGAGACTTCACATACATGTCTTCTATTTCCCCATCCAAAAGAAGAAAGAGTAATTTACTCACTACGCATGCTTGAACACACCAACATGGTCATTTCATTGTAAGAGAAATAAAAGTACAGAAGTCTTAAAAGAATAAGAATACAAATTCACAAAATAAGAAATTCAGAACTATCTCCATATCTTTACTATTGGGAATTTGGGATTACAACCATACAATATCTCAAAGTCATCCCAATTCTCACTTCTCTTCACTTGATTTAACTTTTCTAATTTTCTCCTTCAAGTTTTTTTTTCTTAGAAAATCATAAAATAAGAAAAAAGCCCCCGGAGGTTCCTGTTCAGTTAGTTTATAACTCCCTCAAGTAAACTGAAGCAACAAACTTCCACAACCACCATATTTAGGGTGCTAGCGTTGGAGCGCCCATAGGCAGCTGCACCAACAGTACTTTCTTCTGTTGTGCAGCACCTATGCGCTAATGTTGCGTCGCCTAGGCACCCTCCATATTTCAAAAAATGACGCGATGGTCCAAAAGACCAACTGGTTTACGCTTGCCAGAGTTTGTCCGAACCAACTCAACATATCTGCCTGGCTAATATCAATCGACCGAATCGCCCTTGCCCATCATTGCCAGAAATTCAATCGGTTTTCTAAATCTGATAGGCCGACCAACTCATGGCCTCGTCCAAAAAGTCAGCCAGCAACACTAATCAGTTTTTCTCTCTGGCCTTAATTGACTAAGCCAAAGAACGGCGGGACCCAAGGCTTAAACGGGTATAATCCCCAAAATAAATTACATACCATATTTGAATAAAGGCATAAATGTAACTTCATTTTTTGTATCTCTTATGTCTATACACAGATGATCACTTCATAAATAAAAGGTTAGGCAATTCTCTTATTTTACTATTCAATAGAGCACTCCTCTCTCTCTCTCTCTCTCTCTCTCTCTCACCTCTTTATTATGCTTTAATCCTCATTTCCTTGAGTGTGATTCACATAACAATCAGAAATTCAAAAATTATGATTTTGTGATGAGAGAAATTCAATATAGATCAAATTTCTGCATAAAGAAATCAGTAAGAGAAATAAAAAATGCCTCATTTTCTTATGCCCAACTTTATCTACAAAGTGCATACTGACAGATTGGTTGTTAAAGCAGCAGATTGCATTTTTAATGAATTACAAGAATGACGCGACAAGCAGCGAACCATTAGCATGCATATATTATTACTAGAAGTCATCATTTTAAAAGTCTGATTGTGATAGAATTATTCAATTCCAGCTAACCATTGGCACTCATTACTTCAATTAAGACCAATTAATTATATACTTAATGCTCACAATTTAAACAAAACCTGCTTACAATATATAATTAAAGTTATGCATTTCATCCTAAATTGCTATAATTCAAGTCTTATTTTAGCTGTTCCTTGAACTTTAAATAACAATAAAATATTTAAAAAAAATAATACAAAATGAACAATTATAAAGTTCCTAATGGGCTCCTTGTTAAAGTATGATGAAAAACTAAAATGAATAATTGGGTCAATCTTCAAATTTATAAATTTATATGAGATTAATTTTATAATTTTATTTATTTAATTAATTATTTAAATAAAAAATATAAAATAATTATCTAGCTATTCATAGAGAGCAATTATTTGCTTATGATTCAATTCGGGCTAAACTGAATGACATAATAAATAAATAATAAAATTTTTTAACATAATTTAAATAATACAATGATGATATTATCATAAATTTAATTGATAATAATTTAATTTTGGGCATTTCATTCTTGAATATTTTAAATATATTTCTAAATCAAGATTTCAGGATTGATATTTTAATTAAGTTGTCTATTTTTAATTTGAATATTGCATATCTAACCGTCAAATCAAAGTAAAAAAGGAGTGAAGAGTTGATTAACATTAGAACTAAATGTTTCATCAAAATTCAATCAAGCTCACTTATTCAACAACATTAGTAATGATGAACATTGAAACTAAATTGCAAATTTTATAAATAAATAAATAAATATATATATATATATATATACATATATATAGCAAAATTTTGATAGAAAATTGCCTGTCTATGGAATACTTAAATTGCCTGTCTATGGAATACTTCATCTTCAAACCTTCCGAACTTGTATGCGGTGCGTGGATTCCTCGCGCCAGATCGTATTTGTTCCACTCTGAACAAGTGTAACAAATTCATCTTTCTTCAGAAATCCCAGAGCCTGTAATAGAAAATATGACAATACAAATTAGAGCAATTAAAACAACAAAGAACATGGAGAATGAATAGCTTTATACCAATAAGCAGTTTGTTGCTCTTGAGAAAGTCTCTTCAGCATCATCAGAAAACTTCATATAGATAGGCCATACCCCATGATAAAGTGCCAGCCTCTGCTTAATCCTTTTGCTGCAAGAAAAGTTCATTTTGATTTAAGTTCTGTTTTTTTACATATAGACCCTACAAATACACCTCATGCATAGGTAAGGTGGCAAGTATGTAAAAATTGAAGCTTAGGTGTTAGATATGTAAATAAATAAGAACTGAGTAGCATGCATGTAAGTCTTCCTTGAATTTTCAGGGGGAAATATGCCATTGAATAATGAAGCAAATGCTCTCAAATATATTATCACTTTCTGAAACTATCATTCACCAATATTAGATCTTTTTTTTTATCATAATAAACTAAAATTGTAAGAACTTACTCGTTAGTAAATGCAAAAATAGTTGATGATGGACGATAATGACTTAGAAGTGCAGCCATGGACCCAGTTCTGGTGAAAACAATGATAGGAGTGCCAAGAGTGTCGGCCATTGTAGTCGCATGCAATGCAAACATCGCACTCGTATGGCTTTCACGAAACTCCTCACCGTCGTCGGCCTACAAAAATGAAACTTAAGTTCATTTCAATATAGCAATCACTATGAATCTCCATTTTAGACGGGTTGAGTAGTTAATTTGTACATACTTGGATGACGGTGTCGAGACTTGAATGGGAAATACTAGTTAACTTCGATGATTCGGTTTTTATTGCCACATTATGCATCACATTGACAGATTTTAGGGGGTATCTACAACCAAAAAATGGAATGCGCTTAGAAATATTTGAAAAACATTGTAACATTTGTGATATCTGATGACCTGAACAACGTTGTTTGGATGGTTGGGGCCATGATAGATGATACTACGTCAATTTAATATCTCAAATATTCCTCTGCATGCCATGAAAGGTCAAATTCAGGCTGACTTCTTACGATTGCTCGTCTAAGAAAAATGCTTTAATTTTATTCTAGCATAGGTTTCTCTAAATCTAATCTGAATAGGTGACAAGCTACTTGTTTTTTTGTACCTTCTTTTTATCATGGTTTTCTTACTAAAATTTTTGGACGGGTTTGTAACAATAATCATCGAAAACTTATTATACAAAGCTACTTACTTTCCGTGAGCTGTTTCTCCAGAGAGCATAACGGCATCCGTGCCTTCACGCACAGCAATTGCTATATCAGAAATTTCTGCTCTTGTTGGAGTCGGGTGATTAATCATGCTCTCTAACATATTGGTTGCAACAATTACAGGTTTTTTCATGCTGCGACATCTTCTAATGATCTCCTCCTGAAAAATCATTAGAATGGAAATTATCAAGCAACAAGAGAAAAAGCAGAAATGACGAGTAATTTCTCTGAATGGAAGACGAACATTTATCGACTTACTGCTACTACAGAATCGATATAATGTTGAACACTTTAAAATCAAAGGGCAGCTACATACATACCACCCCCAATTCCTATGCATTATTCCTATGCATTTACATATCTAACACCTAAAGTTTAAATTTTACATTTATAACATTCAAATCTTTCATGTGACATCAGAAATACCAGAATTTCAACTTTTAAAACGTGAAATGCACCTTTTTACCAACTAAAAACACAGAACTTATGTCTATATTAAATGCAAGCATATTAATGCATAAACATACTGGCATATTCCCACACATTTGTGAAATTGAACGGGCAAATAATGTGAGTATGAACCCAAAACACATGAGATACAGGAATGATCTTCATATATATGTTTCAGTGACTTTTTGGATACAAAAATATCGGTTATGGAATGACAGAAATAGGACATTTTCCTTTTTTGCATGCAAAAGGGTGAATGGACATGGCTCTAAACTCTACTAAACAAAAAAATGTTCATAAAAAATTCCATATCCTACTGAGGAAATTAGATATCAGATCTAGTTGCAGACTAAAACCACGCTCTCACTGTTTCTAATCTGATTAGAACTCTTACTGAAGACAAAAGAATCAGAATGATCAATCCACAAATACTGCCACATGAATAAAAAAAAAACTCAAATTTTTATGAACTTACAAAATGCCCCAATCGCTCGTTGAAAATGAATAATTAGTTAAAAGAGAAGAGTGAATATCACATTTATTTTAAACTTAGTTATTTAAACATGATAGTAATTGGTAAACAATTGGAGTATATACTTGATACCAATAATAGTTTCTTGGTATACAGATTAACGAAAATAATAATTATGAATACCCGCATCATTTCAATTACACATTTTTATTTGGTGTGTATCGCAAATATTCACCTGCAGCAGTGGAACTTCCTCTATTGGAAGCTCAGCTCCAAGGTCACCGCGAGCGACCATTGCCTACAATTGTTTACATAGCTTCGTCATTGCAAAAACACATGTACAAGGAAATAGTAATTAGACAAAAAAGAAAGATTACTTCGTAAATTTAGAAAACAGTTCAATCGCAGAAAGAAATTCTTTTTTTTGCATTGGTTACATCAAAATGAATTGTTTAAATTATACGGTTACATCGCCGAAGTCCTTGTAGAACTAGACTTAATTAGCCTGAATGGTTGCAATTTACCAGTTTCTCAGTAAAAATTTTGTTCAATTTTATTTTCTATTGCAAAAAGAAAAAACATAGAAACTTAATAAGAATGTCAAAAAAAGTTTCGTACCCCATCAGAAGCAGATATAATAGACTGGAGATTGGGTATTGAGTCAGCACTCTCGATCTTAACAATTACATGGATATCTGCATTGCAACCTAAAATCCCAACAAATGAAAAAAACAAACTGAAAATAGAGCATAAAAACATTTATTTAACAGCAAAGAAATTTGACTGAACCTTACTTCTGAGGTAATCTTTCAATTCACAAACAACTTTTGCATCTTTTACAAATGATAATGCATAGAAGTCAATATTGTTGTCCACCCCAAATTTGATATCTTCCCAATCCTTTTCTGTCGGAGCATACATCAAAAAATATTTAATAAAAATTAAAATTACATATCTATACTTAAGTAGGATGAAAATTCAATTGTTGAAAGAAACATGACCAACCTGTTATAGAAGGCAAGGTTGCACTTTTGCCTCGAACATTTAAATGGCGTCTCGATTTAAGTTCCCCTCCGTCAATTACTTTGCATTTAACCACATCAACAGTTTTTTCCTTGACAGTCAGTGTCATCATCCCACCTAAAAGTAAAACAAAATAATACAGCATCATAACATCATTATATATATATATATATATATATATAATGACAAAATAGTTTTGGACTATTTACATGAGGCATTTTT